AATTTTGCATATTTTTCTAATAAAAAATAATACAATGTTTACGTTCATATATACGTATATACATTATACACTAATTAATTATCTACTTCTATTTTGCTTTTATCCTGTTTGAATACATCTGTAAATAAAGGTGTATGTCGTGGGAATTTCGAGCAGGTGTACCTATTCGGGATAAGCAGCTGTTCCAAGGTCAGTAGCCAACCCGCCTTTGTCGTGAAGTTGTATAAACGGAATAACTCTAGCTTACGCTGAGTCCAAACCCCATAGATTACTTAATTATTTACAGAACAAATGACAAAAAAAATATATAACTTACATACTACATATAAACAGCAGCAACATGAGCAGTGTTGGCCTAATGCCTTCAACATGCAACTCTCGTCCCTGAGTTCGTAGGTTCGATCCCCGGCTGTGCACCAATAGACTTTCTGTCTATGTGCGCATTTAACATTCGCTTGAACGGTGAAGGAAACATGAGGAAAGCGGCTTGCCTTAGACCCAATAAGACGACGGCGTGTGTCAAGCACGGAAGGCTGATCGCCTACTTGCCTATTGGATTGACAAACGATCATGAAAAAGATACAAAAATCTGAGGCCCAGACCTAAAAACATTCTAGCGCCACTGATATATTTGACTACATATAAACATTGTACAAGTAAAACATATTTCATTCGTCTTAGTATTCCTAAACCTACTGAAATATAATAGGTCTAATAATATCGCGATTCATAGTGAATTGGTGACTGCTGGCGGAGGACAGTTCGTGAGCTGGACATACCCCCGGGTTCTAAGCAATGCTGGAAGCAAACTCATGAAGTCTATCCCTCAAAACAGTGCTAAACAGATTGCAGATTGCTCTCTGCGCAGTTTAAGTGATATCTACGCCGGTAAGTTTGCCAAGAGGTTAAGAATCATTTTTGTATATTTTTTATGATGTATCATTCATAAAAATAATTCTGACTCTTTGACTTAGGTGCTAATGCTATAAATATAACAACTTAGACGATTCCGAGACAAACTAGATACTGTTTAATAAATCCATTGTCTCATAAGGTGTGGCCGCTTTGGTAGTTTAGTTTAGTGTAAGTAGATAAGCAAAGACACAACGAAGTAATAAAAAACATCGCTACACCACTGAAGGTCTTACTGAAGCTGATTTGCCTGATAAGACCCGGCAGGGCAGTTGCCGGAAACGGAAACTGCCCTGCTTCACTGCACCATTAGCTCATTTTTAAATAGTCTCTATCTTTAGTTGATACAATATAAATTTACTACACAAATATTCGAACTCTTCTTTAAAAATACGCCCACGAGCACTGCTCAAGTCTTCCATACTTGATTACGTCATATTTGACTTCACGTTTATCGGGACTTAAACTAAATAAAACATTGATTTAATCTTTATCGTAAGACTTTTTATGGATATGATTTATATGGCGCGCAATGTCGTATTGTCGTTCCGTCACGATTTGGGTCAATCTACGCGACAATGAGGGACAAGGACGAAAACCCGTTTATTATATTACATTCTATTAGAAAATTCCCTAGATATTTTCTAAGAATATTGCACGGGCATACAGGGTGTTTGCCACCTACCTATTCTATTAAATACACAAAATCTATCACAACTGATTTACGCAGCACTACACCTTAGAGAAACCTTATTTACAAACGCTAAATATTTACATAAGCCAACGCTTTGAACAGCAGTCGCGTTTATGTCCACAAAGTTTTTAATTATCGTTTAATTTGGTGAATTTATAACTGTTAGCTTGACTTCGCACAAAAGTATAAGTCAAACGTCAAACTCCGAAACCTTACTTAATTTTAAAACTATTGAAATAGGAAATTAAACCATAAACTGCTGTTTTACTAATAATCTTTATTAAAATTACACAAGTCGCTTGAAGGCTCTTTCGCCAACACAATGGTCTAGCGCCTCCATAAAATCCATCGCCTCCTGGTGGCAGGTCTCAGCTGTATAGGCCTTTGACTTCACCCGGGTTTCACACCTTTCTAATATCTCTACAGCTTTCTTGACGTGATGGTCCCCTGGACAGATAATTTTCTTTATTATTCGTTCTATTTATTTTCATAGAAACAGATGTAATAATTAAGAATGGAAAAATACTTTAATGTGATTATTAATGCGGGAAAATTGGGTCTTCTTCGTTATAATATTTATATTTCTTTCCTGCCTGATTTCTTTAAATAAACCCAAATTTTACAGGTAAACTCAGAATATTTAAATTCCTTACATTCAATCGCAAAGTTTTCTTTCCCTTTACTTCCTTAAATCAGTCGTTAGCTAATTAGGGATTTGTTGCGTTCTTCGGTATTTAAATATTTATCTACTTTTAAGAGACTTTAAAGGACGACTCTGAGTACGGCCTAATTAGTTATTAAATTACTGTATTGTTAATGACGGAGAATGTTTGCATCATTAGCTATAATTTGCATTACCTTCTACACACATCCCCCTTTCCTTGGTCAGTTGATCGTCGGAAGTCTGTTACAAAAACATAAAAATATCTAAATATTCAGTATATTATTACTAGGAGGCATTGTATAAAATATTAAATACATCGTAATAAAACAAATAATTTTCAGTAAATATTGTGTTTTTCTTTATAAGAAATCGCTCTGCCTCAGTCGCTTCAGGTCAAATTCCTTCACTATTTTTTTCTAAATATTTTATAATTATTTCTGTTTTCCCTTTCCCGTACATATTTAGTCGTAAAACGAAATTAAATATGACTCTAATCATGTAAATTAATCCAGGAAAGTTTTGTGGTGAATTAAATGTAGATATCTAAGCAAGAATAATATCATATCATAATATAGTGTACTGCAAAGTGAATTGAAGTAGGTAAAACGAGGACGAGATAAAAATACGCGAAAATCCTTTTCATATTTGTTTTGCGCTCACGCAAAGATCATTGACACAAATGATTAGTAACAGACTTAATTTCGCGTGTACATTAAAAACTGCATCGTATCGGGTGTAGTCAGTCCGAATCGGTTTTCATTAGGCTGCTGAGGCCTTGGGAACAATTAGCAGATATAATGCTATACACATACATATCAATCAACAGGCTCCACTGTTATTATTTAAAGTCAAAATCAAAAACCATTTATTCATATAGGTAACACAATGTAGGTACACTTATGAACGTCAAAAAGAAATATACGAAATATAATGCTTCTAATTTTACATTTAGTGCCAGTTCTCAAATCAAGGGCGTAGAACGGAAGAGAGGAATTGGCAATAAACTCTCCGCCACTGTTTTTAATCGCCAAGTTTTTTGTTTTACACAACGTTCGTAAGGAGCTGCAACCATTACACCATGTTCCACATGACATCTTAAATAATAAATAATAATAAAATAAATTATAAACAAAGATTTGTCGTCTATCAGCAGGAGGCATGGTGAAATAGGAGCACGCACTTATCCAAGAGTACCTACAAGAAAGTCATCGAGGACATATAGGTACCATCAGCCCCGGATTTAAGGGCGTTTAAGGGGCCCCGGGACCTCTACAAAAGAGGGATTTTCCCTCGACAATATATTTTATTGAAAAACTCGACTGCAAAAATAGTATATTTCATTTGGAAGATCATAAGTTGCCATCGGGACAACAACATTAGCCTCCTATTGTACGATCTGTTGTCTTGTCGACGTTTTTAAAATACCTAAATAATGTCAAAATAACCCAAGTGTTAAATTACTTGCTGTTGCGTGTTGAAATAAAATAAAACATCACATGTTAAAGATCGTGGGAAAATAATAAAATAAATTGTCGTTTGTTGCATGATATTTTAGGAACTAAAATGTATTTACGTTAATCTATAAGTTATCGCAAGAATAAGGAATCATTTGTGTTATTTTTATTCTGCTAACGATGCGTTCGGAAACCGAAGATCATGGTAGTTGTTAGAAGCATTTAATGTATATTTCTTTTTTTGACTTTCATAAGTGTACATTGTGTTACCTACACGAATAAATGATTTTTGACTTTTGATAGTAAAATTTCTAACCCTATGTAAGATACCTTTCAGTTTACTTCACATTTACACGACTTACCTCAAAACCAATTCTGTTATTCTCTGCGATTTGGGTAGGTCTTTGGCATGTATAATGTTAAAGTATTAAAACTACATGTGTTTGTCCCATGGCTGTAACGTAACTACAGGGGTCTGTCTTAATTTATAAGTGTCGTTCTTTATACAATGTGACCCATATATTGTTATAAAATATATCTATGACAAAATAAATCGAGTAAACTTCCTTTATGACACATGTTTAGTCATTTGCGCGTATAATTAAACCATAAGTTATTTCCGCTAAAATAACTGGCACTACGATCTTAGAACATGGTCCAAAGTTCACATAAAGATATTTAAAATTATTGTCATTGTGGTTAAGGATTGGATTTAGAAGGCCAAAGTTACAACCTTAGTTTTTCTACAACTTTAGGAGACAGGTTGCCATGCCTATACAGTAATACGAGTAGGTACATATTATATTTCGTAGGATGATTGTTAGTATAAAAATTATGACGTAGAATAAATATTAAACCTTGCATAGCTTTCGGTAAACATGACTTGTTTTTTTTTGTCACACCAATTTTTCGACTTACGTACTTACTTACTTTACTTATTTAATAAGCGTTCACGATTCATGTATTAATATTATTTATCTCTTTCCATGTAAATGCCTTAATATTGAAACCCTTTTATGCGCATTTTATCACCGTGATAATGATAGTGGATTTTAACGTTATCAAAGGTTGTCTATCTCCTATAGCAGAAATTGGCCATAAAATCTTCCAATCAATACTTTGAAACACTAATAATTTATTATTAAAAGGATAGCAAGAAGCTTTCTGCATATTTGTCATATGTAATGTAATATCTAGATGGCTTTCCGTTGTAGAGAATTATATATATATATATATATTCAATATTGAATGTTTCAGATATGTTTTCAAATTGAGGATGGCCACAACGACAATGGTGGTTTCGCCGTTGGCCACCCAATCCCCGCCCAAAAACAAGAGACGCTTATTTGCCGAGGCTCGCCAGAACAGTCTTCACAAACTCAGCGTAATTTTCGACCATGGAAATAAGAATGGTGAGCTTTTTATTTGAAACTGATTTTTTATGTCAATTCATGTTCTTATTCTTATCTCATATTGTGCTCTACATTTATAACATTATTTCAATTAACGTTTGGAAACATTAAGTGCCGAAAGATTTCTTCTAAAAAAATATAATTAACTTACCGGATCGTATTCAGGCATGTCTATGAATCAATCGTAGTGATTTATGCTTTTTAGTATATTTCTTCAATAGCAGCGGTAACTACGTTACAAACTGTCGTAAATGACACTGTATATCATATTGCCCAGCATTTCTTTTCGATCTCTTTACAATATCCACCTTTTAGTATTTTGTTGTAGTCTTTGACAGCATTATCATTTTGTTTCAAAAAGTAATATGTTTAAAAAACCAAAGAAAACTAAAGAAATATTTCTTGATTATTGTTTATATGTGGGTTCCAACTCGCTAATTCGTATCTACAGACCATTCGATATTGAATTATATATAGTTATAGAATAATAAGTAAAGTTATTATTACCGGATTCATTTAATTTTAAAACAATAATCGCAGAAATAACCATCACCGCTTGAGTTATTATGTTTTTTATATAGTCTCGAGGATCAAGGAATAATTGTGTTTTTATTATACTGTTAGCTGTTTCAGTTTTTACAAATATTCATATTTTAAACGTAACGTGCTTCAATCTGATCTAGGCAGGTGATTATAGATAGAGTAAATTGTAAATAAGTTGACGTGGCTCTCAAATCTCAAAAGAACCACTTATTTACCATTCGACTTCGAGTATACTCTTGGAGCGTCCGTTATTCTTGTTAGCAGTTAGTGACAGATTCGTAACAAGCTGACAAATCAAACTTGAAACTACCAATCCAAAGAAAATTGCAACTTCACTGACATCTGACATATGTAATATGTTGCCATTTCTTAGTAATAAATAGTAGAAATTTTTTATGAGAACTATAATACGAAATTTTTAAAACTTGAGCGAGGTACGATACTTGTTCCACGTATTTGGTTAGAAATGTGAATAAAATTATCATATACTGATAAACCTATATATAAGTTACAAAGTTATGAAATATTAAACTAGACGTTTGTCCTTCATTGATTACTCCATTCAGGTTTTGTTGTAGGTATGCTGAAAGAACATTTTTGGAATACTTTTCAGTTAATTCAAGTGCAGCAATTTTTTTTATGAATTTATTTAAAAAGTTATTAAAATTACAGACTATTATGTATTTATTTCTTAACCTAGGATAAATACTTTTTAAAATGTATATAAAAGAGTATTTATCCTGATTAACTATAATATGAAATTCATTATTAATTTAGTAAAATACGAGTGATTTTAAATTTATAAGTTACATATTTAAAGTTTGGTAGAAATATTTTCAATAGTAGAGATTATCAGTTAGCATATGGCAACACCACATACTGCAGAAATAATTGTGTTTCTGAAAATTATAAGCGCCATTGCTTTTAACCGATGTTATGGATATGATTTTAATCGGTTTTCATCCGTAATTCTGTGTAATGTTTTAAATAAATAATAAAGTGATTGTGTACTTAAACTATCGAACTTCTTAAAGTTTTTGTGCTGGGCTTTGTCATGGCCGGTAAGTGGTGACTTTTAGCGCCCGCTTCTCAAGGGCGAAAACGGAGTCTGGAATCGCTATAATCGAAGATGTTTTATCGTTCTAACTCCGACGGTAAATGCAATGTTCTTGTTCTTAGTGTGGTTACATTTTAGTGTTTACACTTGTAAATTAACAGTATCGTTTAGTGAAAAAGTGTTTTCTAATGTTTGCACTTAGTTTTTAACGTTTCTTTCTTGATTCTTACTAATATCCTGAAGTATACTGTTTGTTTCGTTCTCGCAATGATTTCTGTTTTCTTTGACGCGTTTATGTCGCATAATAATTGAAAAATAACGATTGTTTGGGTGATCATCTGATTATATTATGTTGTTCATATATTGAAGGTCAAACGCGCGTACTCACAAGAATTACACTAATATGAACAATATATACTCGTAATAATATTAGAAGTTCATCGAAAGAGTGTAAAAGTGAATTCATGCTCAAAATGAGGTTACAAGAAGGTGAGATGATTTTTTATAGTCCCTTACAAAACCTGTTTATTGGTTGTAACAAAAATAGTAATTCCACTTAAAAAGTTGTGTGTAATGGTCATTTATATGTTTAATAAGACTCATTGAGTATTGTTGCTTAGTATACTTGGAATATGTAAGCATCTGCTGATTTAACCAACAGATGTTTGAATTGACCATTCTATACTTGTAACCTAAGGTCATTGATGTAGTGTATAGCCTATACTAAATACTTAGTAGTAAGAAGTGTAGTTTTATGTTTTAGCTATGTGTTTTGGTTGGAGCTTTTATGTTTTGATTTCTCTTCTATAAATATAACCTAATGCAGTTAATAATTGCTTAATTAGTAGTTTTAATTAAACTAAGTGATCATTTCATTAAATTTCTATTAAATTATGGTTTACAACCTATAAGGAAATATATGTTGTGATGTAAATACCTTTATGGTGCATGCTGTAGGGAGGGAAGTATACTTTTCACTCAGTACCTAAATAATTTTTCGAAACAAGAAAATTCTATTGCCCCGATGACATTCAAGTAAAATGAAATGGGTGGCAGAGATGTATAACAAAGGATGCAAGAATTACAAAGCAATTTATATGTATACTGTGGTGTTGATCTTGAATCTATGTCAAATTGATAGAATAACTTTTCCTGGTAACTTAGGTGTTTGTTTTATTTTCATTTGTTGTCCATGTCTATACTCATGTTCATTTTAAACAAGAAAATCAATCTTATTAATCTATTTTAGATTTATGTACAAGTTTAAAAAAAATATTTTAGAGTTATAGTACATTACATTACACTCATTTTCATGAAAATCATAAAATGCAATAGGTATGTTTTAAAGTACAGATTGTCAAAGTTATTTTAGTAAAGAAAGTCCTACTGTATATGAATTTCTGGTACCATAATACCATCTGTAGTATGACTAGGATGAAACATTTTTTTTAATAGTTAATTTATATTTTAATTAAAATAATATTTATCAATCAACTTACGTCTATTGAAATTTCTAAGAAAGAGCAATCAACCATACTACAGGAGATAAATGATAAGGCACCTATGTTGGAAATTAACTTAAAATGGTTTAATTAAAAAGTTTTAAAATTATGTAAAGAGTTAAAGATAAGTCTACTTTTTTAACGTTTTGTTATCTTCATAAATAATAACATACTGATTATAATAGTTTGTTATAAAAGAAAATATATTTACATTTTCAATGATAAAATTTATATAATTCTTGTTTTTTGTAAATTCAAATGGTTTGTCTAGTGAGCAGCAGTATTTAATTGCCAGTAGTAAGAAATAGCTAAATTTTCAGTAATAGTCAATAATGGTCCATAAATTAATGTATTAACACTTTTTTTTAGATTCTCTTTGATGAGAATTAGCTAAGTTGGGGGTAAAAAGAAATTAGTCACAAGACAGTCAATTGGCTGTCTTATTATAAAAAGTACCTTTGTAAAAGTAACCGGCTACCAACAGAGCATCTATAAATATATGATTAAATCATGTAACCCCAGGTTTCATAGGAAACATTTAATTTACACTGACTAGTTTCATTACTTGGGGCTCTGTCAGTTATTACAGTATATCACTTCTGTGTATATTATAGTGTGTAACACTAACTATAATATATATATTCCGCATATTAATATGTTAATTCTGCTTATATAGCATCTTGTTTACAATATTTGGCTGTTTCAAATATTTGTATATATATATACATCCATCTATTTATTAGTAGTTGTTAACTATGAAAATTGTTGGTTTTGAAGAAACCATTAATAATTTTTAGGGTCAAACAATCAAAATTCTTTCACTATGCTTTCACATAAAAACTTCACCTGTTAGAACTGCAAGGTTCTAACACCAATAGGTAAGATTCTGTGTTATGACTAAGTTGAATAAATAATTATAAACAATTTCGCATCCATGCTTTTTAATTTGGATTATCTAGGTCATACATAATATTATGCCATAACCAGTACAGTAAAGATATACCTATATATAACATGATCTATTATAAAGATTAAGACTCAAGTTTCTATGGTTTTCATTCATAAGTATTAAATTACTATTGTTTTGAAAACTTGTTGTTTCTACTAGTTCAGTCCAAGCTAACAATTGTTCCTAGCATGTCTGATTATTGTGTAAAATAAAATGAGAATAATTTGAAATGTTGAAAAAGAAAGAAGTGCAGTGGTATGCAAATAGGATTTGGCTTCAAGACAGCATTTATCATTGGAGATATATTTGTGAAGTCCATAGCTATGCTTGTAACTGTATGTATTTAGACTATTTAGATTTACTTTATACTATATCTTTATCATTGCGAGAACTACTTCTAGTAAGAACTTTCTGTAAAGTACATTGCATTTACTATAGTTGTTATGTAGCTTTTATTTGGTATACATAAATCTAATATTAACAAATAATGTAATAGTAGATGATTTACTATATCACCAATCAATATTATTTTAGATTTTTGTATGCTTATCTAGTTCTAAGTTCTTTAGGTTTTGAGAAATAGTTGACTGCAGCTACATTTCAGTGGTGTCCTTTTTCTAACATATTTCTAATATAAATATTTTATTATTGGGTAAAGTGTGTTATGCATCTATCATATAAACATTTCCTAGTTTCTATGTATATAATGTATCATGTATGCAAAGATTCCTTATTCTTGATTTTAACTTGAATAGTTGTATCATCTATCTATCCTCTCTTTTTCTATTTTTTTTACTAACTTTAGCTTGGTTTTGGAACTATGTACAAGGTTTTTTGAATTATTTGTTAGAAAAGAATATTAACTACCAATAATCTAAATAGAATCGATTTAGCACTATTTTAATGTTGCTACTTTTGATTTAATCGAAAAATACTGTCAAGTGAGTCTAGAAAGGCATAGAAACCTTTTGAAGAGAAAATTGATTAAATTATGGTATATTATTCATTTAGATATTTGAGTGTTATTCATTTCTATCTAAAACAGTTTGAAATTTGTTAAATTATTCATGTTTAGTTGTCTCACTCTCTCACATTTGTATCTTCTCTGAATGTCAGATAATTTGTCAGTAAATACAAGTTCTGTCTCTATCTGTGATTAAATAATACAAAATTATTGGCAGTACAGAATCAGATTTCGAAAATAGCTCTAGTGGGTAACGTCCGACCATGACATCTAACTTAACACAATTACTTTCACACATTCGATTAGAGATTTTTAAGTGCCCTAAGTTGGCCTCTAGATACTCACCGGCCGCTTAATGCGAAACAACTTCATTAAACTCTTTCAGCCGTATTAAAGTTTTGTTATTTATTTTGTTATTTCAGGCAATGGTGGTGAGACAACGTGGTGTTTCAGTCAGGTCAAAGGCACGCTTGAGGATGACGTGACAGAGGCGGATCTGATATCCTGCGTTGAGTTCAACCACGACGGTGAACTGCTGGCCACTGGTGATAAGGGCGGGCGTGTTGTTATATTTCAGGTATTCTTGGATTATAAAGCATAGTTCATGAATTTCAGTATAGTATTTGTTAATTAATTATTTTGTAAAAAAAAATATAAATATTACAATCAAACTATCAATCTATATAAAAAAAGACTACATTTTCGACAAAACATAAATTTTTTACATTTTAGATCGCCTATCATAGTTTGTGTATTACGATGACGCAAATATATACCTAAACATGTATAGGTTTTGGATCACTGTACCAAAACCAAAAATCTAAGGAATATTTCCATAAATTTCAATATTCGTAGCTCTGATATCGCGAACTATGAATTTGCGTGGTACGAAAAAAATATAGTTTGATTTCACACAGTAATAAGAATTACCAATTATCTTTTTTTCCTTTACACTATAGTAAAGTAAACAGTAGATAACGTAGGAGATATTGATTATAAACAAATGCGCATTGTTGATCTAGACCTCGAGATTAATTAGAACGATGAAGTCAACAAATCAATTGTCATTGTTTGCTACAGTTCATATTATGTTCTTGATTTTAATGATATAAATGTCATGCAAACGTTTAACTTGTGGTAACTGTCATCAGACGCGGAATAGGGGTCTTATGGTAGGGAAAACCTCTTCTATAAGCAGTTAATATGAATTGAATCATTGTTTTGCCGGATTTCGTGGGAAGCATTATTTCTAAATATTATTATAGGAATTATTAGAAGGAAAATACTTTTGTCCGGTTAATTTCATTGATATGATAGAAATAGGATCTGATTGTATTTCATTTTCAGAGAGACCCAGCGTCAAAGCAATGTGTACCCAAAAAGGGTGAATACAATGTGTACTCGACGTTTCAATCACATGAACCGGAGTTCGATTACCTCAAGTCGCTTGAGATTGAGGAGAAAATCAATAAAATTAGATGGCTCAAACAGAAGAACCAAGCTCATTTTCTACTCTCAACTAATGATAAGACTATTAAACTATGGAAGGTGAGATATTAAATAAACGTGAATTTTAGGATTTCGAGTTCAATGAACCAATAATTATTAATCTAAGCAAGATTTATATAAATTTCAATATACGTAGCTCTGATATCGCGAACTTGGAATTACGCGGTTCGAAAAATGAATATTGAATTGAAATCATTGTAGATTACATTTTATTCTCATTTAATGTTTCTCAGGTGTCGGAGCGTGACAAGCGCGTGACGGGCTACAACACGCGTGAGGAAGGCGGGCGGCCGCGGGACCCAGCGCGCGTCACGCAACTGCGTGTGCCCACTGTCAGACCCGCTGATCTCATGGTCGAAGCCTCGCCACGGTAAACCTTACGAAAAACAAAAATCTCGTTTGAATATCAGTCAAAACATTAATGTTTGAGGAGTTTGTATAGAGATGCTTTTTAACAAATTTGATTTTCTTCACTCAAAAATTACTATCATCACTTTATCTAACAATGAATTCGATATAGTTCTTCCAACATCCATAGAGCTGATGTCGTTGATTTTAATATTAAGTAAGATACGCAGTCGAAAATATATTTTACCATGTAATTTATGAACATCAGTTTTTAAAAATAATTAATTGAATGAGTCTGAATTCACATTTATTGCCAGAACTCAATGTAATAGCCGACGCGTATAGGATGTTACGTAGTACCGTCACTCTTAGAAGAATTAATTTAGAGAATACGTTATCTATGAACGTCAAGAGCCACAAATATTTGCGTACCCACTTATGATTATCACGTTTTATTGGAAATCATGTCCTATCTAATCAATGTACAAATACAGAGCGTGCGCCGTGAAGTTAATAAAATATAGATAGTTTAACTAATTTACGTTATTAAACTTTTGCATTTTTGATAATAAATACTCGGTAATTGCGACACTTTTCATAGGGTTTATCGAGATTTCTGTATTAATTTTTTTATAGTCCTTAAGCAATTAGTTGATCATCAACCTTCCAAGACGATTTTTCGTTGTATGACGTGCCCGTTTCTTTACCTTTCTATTTTTCTTATCAACACAGCCCACAGCCCCATGCATCGAATGTACCGTATGCTTCATGAATCGCACTATTACAAAGAGTTCTTAAAAAGACAGATAGTTCCAGACTAAATTAAAGTGATAGTTGAACCATATTTTTAAGTACTAATGCGTTAATGAGTTCCTGGGTTTGATTCCCGACGAAACATGCGGACATACCTAATTGTTTCCGGTTGGTAGAATAAAATATATATTCTAATTAAAATAATACGCCAAAACATATGCCAAAGCCTGCCCTAGTTTGACTTCATACTTAAAAAGATTATTAAAACGTTAACTTAACTTTCAGACGGATATTCGCAAACGCGCACACGTACCACATAAACTCTATATCGTTGAATTCTGACCAAGAGACGTACCTCTCGGCTGATGACCTGCGAATCAACCTCTGGCACCTGGAAATCACCGATCAAAGCTTCAATATTGTCGACATCAAGCCGGCTAATATGGAGGAGCTTACAGAGGTACGCAGAGTATTCAATATTCTTTGTATGACAACACAATTTATAATAACATAAGAATTGATGTTGGTTGAAACCAAATTGTCATAAATAACGAAATATATATACACCATTCCCCGCTCTGCACCAAATTATTATTTAAAAACATTTTTTTTCTAAATACAGGTGATCACGGCCGCTGAGTTCCATCCGACTGAATGCAATCTCTTTGTATATTCTAGTAGTAAGGGTAAGTAATATTCAGTAATAATAATAATATGATAATATATATAATGAAGATGGTGATGAAATTATTTATTAGTATGATTACAAAAAGAAGTTATATTTATAAACTCCATAAAATGTTACAACGGTAAAGATTGTTTATAAAATCGAATATAACATAGATAAGAGTATTACCCGTTACTGAATAACTATATATTAAGTTAATTGGTTTTCGTGTGCGTAGGTACCATCCGCTTGTGCGATATGCGCGCGGCCGCGCTGTGTGACCGACACGCGAAGCTCTTCGAGGAGCCAGAGGACCCACAAGCAAGGTCCTTCTTCTCGGAGATCATCTCTTCCATCAGCGATGTCAAGCTCAGCAACTCTGGCAGGTGAGGTTTCTTCATACATATATTTATTTATATACAAAGCACGAACACGATATATTATTAATTAGTTAGTATAATATATTTTTATGTAAAGAGTAGTGATAGTAAATATGTATTTGATAGTAGGATTTTTCTTTAATTATTAAATATCGAAAAAGGTATCTTAAATATTTTCTTTCTATTTCAGATACATGATGTCTAGAGATTACTTAGGTTTAAAAGTTTGGGATTTTAGAATGGAAACTAAACCCGTAGAAACATATCCAGTAAGTAATACTTTAAATTTTATTTTCGACATAACCAACATCGTGTCAGTGTTGCCACATAATATAATTTGAGATGACAATAGTGATTGGTAGCTCTTAAGTAGATAGGTAAAAATATATGTACACCACACATTGTGTGTTATTAAAATAAGTTTTATATAGATAATTTGATTTGAGCACATGCATTCTGTTGTACCTAAAATAACAACTGTTTGATGAATGAATTAAATATTGGTGATGTTAAAGAAATTTAATTGATCATTACTAGAATGGATTGTATATTAAAGAAATGTATTTCTAATTGTTAACAAATAAACTAGAATATTAGTAATAATTATATTAATTGTATAATTCATAAGCCTAACATAGTAATATCTTTACTCAGAGTTATGTTTATTTTCAAAGTGATAAGAGTTATTCAACAATTGAAGGTTTATAGTATGTTTATGAATGAAGTTGAAAAACTGAAAACTTGTGAATTTGCACATGTAAGGATAATAAACCACTTGGTTTAGGTAGTCATAGCTATAAAACATAACAAATTTTTAATGTTATGCAAATATAAATTATATTGTCTTTGATTAACATAACTTTTATTCATTTAATAAAACACTATTTTGACCGGATTGAAGTATTGTGTCACCGTGACCACGCACGCTGTAAAGCACGCGAAACGTCGGATAAATTTAAAATTATGTTAAATAGTTGTAAATTTATAATAATACATAACTTCAATCCGGTCAAAATAGTGTTTTATTAAATATAAATTAAAAAATATTGCTTCGTATTATAGATTCAACTTCTGTTTACAGGTGCACGAATACCTCCGATCAAAATTGTGCTCTTTGTATGAGAATGACTGTATCTTCGATAAGTTTGAATGCTGCTGGAGTGGAGATGATCACAGGCTTATGACCGGCTCCTATAATGGATTCTTTAGGTAAAACAAGTTTAAAGAAAATTGATTTAGTTCTACGAATTTTAAGATTAAGTTCTTTACATAAGAACAATGTGGACAATAGAATAGCTTGTTTACTTTCCCAAAGATGTATAAAGTTCACTTATGAAGAGCGACAATTTAACTGCTAACAATTTTTTGACGAATTTATCGAAGATACTGATTAGATTTGCCGATCTTGTACATAATATTTTCGGCGTTATCTCATTATTCAGTTCTTGATTTTTGATTGATTTTCTTTAAGTTTCATGTTATAAAGGCAACTTAATTTATTTAATACTTTTTATTTCATTATCAATTCATTTAATTATTATGTAAGAGATGGTCAAAAAACAAAGACGGTTCTTTGGTTTGTGTGATTTAATAAAAATAAATTAAGGTTGTTTGTTTAGTTATATATTAGAAAAAATATTATATAAAATTAAATATATGAAAGATGAACGACAAAGGCTCCCTATGGCACATACACAGTCGAGATTAAAACTAATTTTGATTTCTTATTATTATGTATTTGACATACTTTGACAAGGCTCAATCGTACTCTTTAAAGTCGATAGCATTTTCTGTTTTGATACATGGGTTATTTATTAACCATTAAAAATGTAAATTTATTAACGCCTGATTCCTTAAAGGGTAGTCAGAGGCCTCTTATTGCTAAGATCCTTAACCTCCACTCATATAATAAAGAGACATAGAATCCATACTAAACAAATAATGTTTTCAGAATATTCGAACGTAGCGGCGGCGGCGGTCGTCGTAACGAGCTGACGCTTGAAGCGTCGCGTGAGGCCGCAGCTCGACCGAGACAGCCTTTGCGCGCGCGTCGCGTCGCCACCACCGCTAAGAGGAAGAAGGTTTGTATTGAAATTCATTATGTGAATATATTATTAATTTTGAAATCCTTATTTTTAAATTTAATAACTCGTTTTCCAGGATGAAATCAGCGTAGACTGCCTCGACTTCATCAAGAAGATTCTGCACACGGCGTGGCATCCTCACGAAAGCATCATAGCCGTCGCCGCCACCAACAATCTCTTCATCTTCCAGGATAAGTACTAGCGCGTCGCCGATACCGAAGAATCCTTTACCGAAGTTACTGTAACTGGGGACTTCGTTACCGTATCTATAGTTAACGTTAGTAAAAGTACAGCTACCGTAACGGAGGCTATCGTTACCGATCGGACCGTAACTAGAGTTATGGTAACTATGGCAACCGTTAATCGAGTTACCGTAGCTAAAGTTACTGCTAAAGTGACTGTGGATAAAGTTAAGCTTACCGAGCACCCGGGCCTCACGTGATGTATACTTTGTACTGAGTTTTATATACAGGTGTTTCACAGATTATATTGGTTATAACTAAATATTAATTTTTAATCAAGATTTTTTTTAGGAAGAAGCGTATAAAGATCATATCAAGTTTTTAAAATTAAATCGGAGACAAAGTTTCCGTACGAAAAATTAAATTATATTAGTTTTTTTTTAATTCTTCTTAATTTATAACTGTAAAACTCAGTACACAAATGCTAAATATAACCGCCATAACCGCTTTGTTTAAAATTTGCGTCCAAACGTGTAGTCCATATCTCGAGTTTGAACGAATCTTGCGTTCGCACTCAAGTCGAATGTTGCCAATTTTTCCCAATTTTGTTTTAAATCAGTCTTTATTGTTTTAGAATGTGAAAAGTAATCTAACTTAAGTAACTATTTATCTTCTCTTGCAAAACATCTTCATATTTTTGTATTATATTATTAAAAAAACTGTACTGTCTTTATTTATTTCTCTTGAGAAAAACTAGACTAATTTCATTTGTTTTTTAACTTCAATTTATATATTCAAATTTCGATTATGATAATCGTGCTTGAGTGTGTACTTGAGATTAGTTTCAGATCTTAGATCGCCCCGAACGCTTTAAAGATAGAATAAGTAGGAGAATCGAATATATTATTGTTAGTATTTGCTTTTTAATCTGTGGGGTAGTTGTACTGTTTATGACATTCTTAAATTGATAAACGACTAGTTTTTAGTAACGTTTATACAAAAACCAAACAGCTTTGGCTACAGCAGGACTTTTCTAAGTGATAAATGCAAAAGGTAATTAAAAACTGGTAAAATGACAATACAAGCGATACAACTATCTTGGAGATTATATGAAACACGAACAATTATAACCAAACCGTTTTGTATAAAACACCACCGGCTTTAAGTGAGCCTCAGCTCGCCGCAGACACGTTACTTTAGTATTTCGAAAATCGGTTATTTGGTTTTTTACAATAAAATAATACATGACGAGAAAAGCCGCGAACAATTTCTCGTATAATGAAAGTGTCATGTCTGTGGTTAGTTTTAGGCTAAATTAGTGCATTACGAATAAGGTTTAAGTATTTCTACAATCTGTTATAAATCGAATGTAAAGTTGTAATTATCTGTTTTTAAAGCGTCATTCATGTTTTGCCAAAAAGTTTGATACTGAATTTAGTATTCGGTTAAAATAGAAAGTCAACATTTTTATTTGCCAATCCCATATTCTCATGAAATCTATGACTGTAAAAATAAAATAGCACCACACTTGAAGGTTCCATCTGGCAAAATCCATTAAAATTGTACATTGAGAATATGGCCGGCTTAACTTAAGAACTTATTTATTACAACCGAGATTAGTATCGAAATAAGAATCGGTAAATTAAGTTAGCGTCATAATTATAAGGTCTGTTATTCCACGAATGGTTTCACATAGAGTGGTCTCTTTCTTTTCTAAGAAATGTGAAAGAGAGGATTATGGTGACAGTTCGCGGACAGTCCTTTTTGGTCAAACAAGTCTAGGACTATCTTTTTTTTAAATAAGTCTATTTTTGCAAATTTAAAATAGATAAAAACATTCCCTAATTTATAATTGCTGTTTATGAGCTAGAAAGAATTTGATTCAGTAATATTTTGTTAGAGTATGGACTGTCCCGAATGCGGTCTAAATGGCTTGATAAGGATTTGTATACGTAATCAGTGAAATAGTGAACTGTCGGGCCCGTGCCTTACCGGACGTAGTCGTTAACATTCTTTATTTATTTTCTACTTTTTATTAGGCGTTGTGAAACTCGTGAGCTTGCGATCGAATGAAACCTTAAAATTTCTTTAGAGGGTATTTGTTATGTTTGGAATGTAATCGTTTAAAACATTGTTGAAATCACAATCGTATCATGGGATTAATCGGGCATAATTACTTATTATTTTGTGATTCGTCTAAAGCTTGGATAGTTATTGTAAATAAGCGAACGAATGTTGTGAAGGCCTGATAAGATAACGTCACAATTGTATTATTGTATTGTACAGTTATTATATACGATTTGTACTCGTGTTAAAATTATGTTCATCGATATTCGTAATTAATTTTTTTGTAAGCCTTTTTATTGTATAATTTTAAGAACTTAGTCGGGTGTGTTATTATACGTTGATTTTGTGGCCGATGAAGCACTTGTAGTCTTGTGAAGTTCAGTTTTGAATCTCCCGCGTAATGAGACGTATATCACTTACGACGCTACGTTTGGGAGTAGTTTTTGATCGTTTTTCTTATTTTGTTTTTTTTTATTAGGGGCCTCGGTCAATTCCTCGCGCATTGTAGTTACATTATGCTGTCCGCTACGTATCGGCCGATAGATAGTGATATTTGTGTGATAATTATCGTGAAAAAAAATTAATTATGCCTTCGCAGCTAAGTTTTTATTGCTTCGAAAGCAATTAAGGAATTGACTTCGACCCCCGATGTAAAAATGGAAATGTAGTATAGCGGAAACATCGTATGTCTGCGTGATGCGTGCTAGTTTAAGTCTAGATTAGCTAGGTAATAATGCGAACAGTGATTAAAAAAAAACAGTTTTCTTTCCTGCTCGATGGATCAACAGTCATGTGATATGTGATTTGTATTGGCGTATTGACGACAACGAAAAGCGCGCGCGCCTGGTTTGATGCAAGATTCACACGGCATTGACATGACTTTTAAAAGGTCACATGCTTGGCCCTAATTGAGCTCAATGTGCCTGGTACACATACGACATTTTATTAGGGACGAGCGGTCTTCCCCATTGACAAAGCATGTTACTTAACCAAATTTAATGACAATTGTAGTGTGGATTCTGTCACAAATATATTTTTAAGTGCCATTAGTCGAATATCGGCGCAGGCGCGTGATGAACGCACGTTGTTGAATCCAAAATATTTCCTATAATATAAATTTTTATATCTGAGTATTTGTTTTATTTAATAACTACATCTGAATATTCTATATTACATTCGTACTCCTGGGTATTCTATTTGTTAAATAATGAAATTTATAATTATTAAACCGTGCCAACTCTCAGCACAGATACATTGGTACAATAAAATTTAAATACAATATTAATGTGACAAGCACTTAATAGGCAAACAAGAAACAAAAAGATTAAAAAAACTAAAGGAAAATTTATTTCAAAGTGTAGAGAGAGAGGAGCAACCTTGGATATCTAGACGTAGCTTGGTTCTCAGAAACGGTAGATGTGACTTTAAAATTACCATTTATGCACTTACGGCAACCTCCGTTTTGCACTCGAAACTCATTAATAAAAGCTTTCCTAGAAATTAAACAAAATGTCAAAATATAAAATTCATTAAGCGAGGTTGTACGAATATTTCTCAAATATGTTTTAATTGTGTGTCAATAAAATTTAAGAAATAACTTCCCTGTTTTAGTACTAATTTTTTGAAACAATCCTATCCTCCGTTATTCAAAAAAAAATTATACATTCCCTAAATTTATAAAATAACAACGAATGTTGACAAATGTTTCTAATATCAAATTATTTTAAACACTAAGCATATTCAAGCGGAAGCTAATAGATAATTCCTCATATCACATCATATTTTTATACAAGTGTATTATTAATTTCAGAGTTGAAAAGTATAAAATGAAACTGCATATACAAGAAAAAATGTATTTATTAATTAAATCCCCTACATCACAAATGTATCACAAGGCCCTTTATCAGCAATTTGTCAATAGTCCTATTTGAGCAATTTTTAAACAAATAACAAAATATACTCTATTTCGTTTGTTCATAGACTATAGAAAGAAGTAAATCTACAATAATCTGTACATAATCCAATATATTAATATTTCATAAAATTTTAAAGAAAGATATACGAGTAGAACAGTACAATAATATACAACATTATTACGTACTTCGTACACATTTTTTTTGTTATAAAAATACAAAACCTAACCTATAAGCTATGTACAGCAACCCAGATCTAATCTATAAATGCTGCCAAGATGTGCCACCTGCCTTTGGCTAAACCCAGTGTGCTCTAATTGTCATGTTTGTTGCACCGTTTGCGGTTTGTTTATCGACCTATGTATGTTAGGTACCAACTTTTACATAACCCATTCAGCCAGTATTAAATCTTCTACTCGTTACCACTATAAGAATAATAATTATTTTTACAAACGTTCCAAATTTAAATATAAATATAAAACTGTTCGAAGCTTATTTCGTACAAGTTCTATCCTACAAATTGGTACCAAGCAAGCACTTCCGCCCGAATACTGTCTATTAAAAAACGTCATACAATCGATCTTACGATTTCTTATATTTAAGCCTTAAGAAGCACAATGTCAAAATTAAAATGATCCATCCAATGCTAATAAGAAAGCCGATATAGACGTTGTAGTCTGTGATGCCGGACCCTCTTTCCATGAGGTCTCGTAATGATCGAGAGGGCAGAGTGAAAGGTAGCATGAGAGCTACTTGTTTGAGGGCCCAGGGCATACCTTCTAAAGGCCAGAGGATACCTGAAATTAAGAATTTGAAATATAGTTGCAATAATTAAAAATAAGTTGCGTGAGTTTTTTGTATATAATTATAATATAAGAAGACCCTGCAAATTGCATAATGATCATTTGATTTCATTGTTTTCTTCAATACAATATTAAAATTCCCAACATAGTTTTTATTTAAATAAAAATAGATAAGTATCTATTTAGAAGAACCAATATGTGCCTTCGTAGGCTTTGTAATATTTTGAAATCACAGAAATAAATAATAATAAAGTTTATTTATTTGACTCTTTACAAGTTTGTCATGTTCAGGAATTGGCTATCTTTGAGAGTATATATGTATATTCTAAACTAAAATAACAAACAAAACACACGGGAATCCTTTTCATAGTTCGCCGAATACCTGTTGCTATAGATTTTAACATATTATACACAATAGAGATTAACAATCTTACCACAAAGCAATATCATGGGGTAGAAGCTACCCGTTGCCACGAAGAACGCGACAGTGAAACTGGAACACAGAACTGAGAGGAGGAATCCGTAGCACATTCCACCCAAACCTTGGAGGAAGAGCAGAATGGCACAAGTCACTATGGACCCTTTGAATGGAAGAGCGTAGCCGACGAACGCTAGTACCATCATCTCAAGTGTCTAAAAAAATATAAATATGATTAATAAAATCTAAGTTGATGTAAAATTGAACTTGATATTAGTTTGTTTTATATGACAAAAAACATTATGTGAATACTAAATGAGTAAAAAAAATTCATGTTTTTTTAACGTTTAGATTAAGAATAGTTAGGATCGAAACTCTAAAATCAATCAATTTAAAATTAAAATCACCTAATATTAGCTTAATAATTGGATGGTATAACTGGTTTAATGGGTATAAATTTCAAACACATTGACTATATTAGCAATATCATTAAACGCCAAGGAATCAAAAATATGACCAATTTACCGTTAATTTCAATAAATTCCTACATTAATTAAATTGACGTTTTGTTGCTTATACCTGTAAAACAATAATTGCGCTCTGCAACGTGATGTGAACCTGCAACATCTCTTTGGGCTGAACACCCGCCACTGCACTTCTTTCCCAAACACCATCGAGACGGTCCGATATCATTAGCGTTGATGTTACTATAGCCGGCAAAAAGTAAATAATCCTGGAAAAGAATTCCTATTATATCTAAAACAGTTTTTTAGTAAACGTCAAAAGTAACAATATTTATTTATTGGTTGTGGACATTAAAAGCCTCGAAACTGAAATAATATTTGCACATAGTCAAAGCAAGTACTTTGTAAGGTTTTGTATGCAATTTCGATGTAGTTCTCTCAATATTGGGTTCGTGTATAAAAACTTCGTTATATTGTAATAAGTTATAAAAACTTCGTTATTCTCACATTCTTCATATATTTATAGATATTTAATTTATCTGTTCTGACCACAATAATTGTTTCAGTGTGCTAATTTTACGTGGTGTTTAAACTACACAGCTTTAATTACGTCATTTATTACAGGGAAATATCTTTATAAAATGTACTGATATTTTAAAACTTAACACAATCCTGAGATAGGGTAATCATAATAACTGAAACTTCAGAAGTACGTAATTATACTATTTGACCTTTGACTTACGTAATCATGACTCCTGGTGCCATGTATGACACCATCTCTGGTTCTAATGAGCCGTAGATTGGTGTCATCATCCTCACAGGAAGCTAAGGGAAAGAGAAAGAAGGATTAAGATCTAATATTAGAGTATATGAAACGGAAAGCGAATCGTCGTGAGATTCGAGGTCGCAGTGCGTGCGGAATTACCCTGTTACGTATAGTACGACAATCATCTTGATACTTAATATGAAAAAATTAATCTCTCTATCCGCTGATTCTATTAGCGATTTTTGTATAATTAATTTTAGTGGTGGTTAGTGTATTGAATTAATTATAAAGAGGAAAGATTTGCTTGTTTGTTTTCATTGAATATGCTCCACAACTATTGTACCAATCTAATCTTCATCATGGTTAACATATTATATATATTTAAAAAGTTAGGTATCTTCATGAAAAATATAGATTTTCGACCCAAGGTGTGATAAACATACAATAAAAATTCCTATATCGCGTACGCTGTGAAAACAATTGAGGAAAGTGATGTTACAGTTTTATAAAAGACATCAATATCTACAAAATCGTACCATATGTCTATTACATATTTAATAGAATAACTAGCCGTACCAAACCGCTACTGGACGTTAGTTAACAAAAGAAAGGTTGTTCTAAACTAAACATGAAACAAAATATTTAAATAGGACCAAACTTTTTAAATTTGTTTTAATTTTCTTTTTATTATTACTATGTAGGTTAAGAAAATTGTAGGTAAATATTAGGTCCTTACATATGAAATTGGCGTTTTGTATGGGAGGAACAAAAAGTCGAATATTTTTAAATATAATATATTTAATGAATCAAAGTATGAACCATTGTTTTCTATGCACTTTTGCCATCTCATAGGTAGTTCATTGATCCCTTTACTAAATAAAACAGTCGGACGGGAATCAATAAAATCTGTGAAGGCGATTTGGACTGCCCCATCAGAGTTAAATTTTTTCCCTTGCAAGTTGTCCAAATTTCGAAAAAAATGGTAATCTGTTGGAGCAAGGTCCGGGGAGTACGGAGTATGTCTTAGACATTCCAATTGAAGCTCTTCTAATTTGGTAGCCGTCTGTTGTGCAGTGTGTGGTCTAGCGTTGTCGTGAAGTAGCAGTGGCGTGGAGCGATTGACCAGCCTAGGTTGTTTAGCCGCTAGCTTTTCCATCATGGTTTGAAATTGCTGACAATAGACATCAGCCGTAATAGTCTGGCCAGATTTGAGAAAACTGCAATGAACAATACCGGCACTAGTCCACCAAACGCTTACAAGTAACTTTTTTGGGGTTAATTTTCGCTTGGGGCAGGATTTGGCTGGCTGGCCAGGATCCAACCATTGCGCTGAGCGCTTTCGATTAAGTAATGTAACGCAGCAGTCGACGCGCGTTTGCCGGTTTGCTTCAGTCAATTCGTGAGGTACGCATCTTTCAAGCTTTTTAATCTTCCCAATTTGCTTCAAGTGAATTAAAACAGTTTTATCACTAACACCGCCTGCAGCTAACTCGGACATGGTTTGTGATGGATCCGCTTCCACAATAGCCTTCAATACTTCATTATCAACTTGGGTCTCAGGCCGTCCACGGGGCTTGTTCTGGAGGTCGAAATTTTCAGAACGAAAACGTTGGAACCAAAAACGAACTGTGTTTTCTTTTGCAACATAACCGCCATACACATAATTCACCCTTCGAGTCGTTTCAGCAGCACTAGTGCCACGGCGGAACTCGTACTCGTAAATAATGCGATACTTTAAGTTTTCCATTTTGTAAAATGAGTGACGCAACCAGAAAAAAACAAATGAATGACGGTCATCGAAGCACAAATACATGAGTAAATAGCTGTACAAATTTGAATTTGGAATTCCTTACCAAAGAGGAGAACATCGTGATTAAAGTGGCCAGTACGAAATACGCCAATTTCATATGTAAGGACCTAATATTAATACTGTATGTTTGATGTTTTGTTTAGTTTTTAATAAACGATTAAACTATTTAAATAGGGCTTCCTCACAATATAATAAATATAGGTACCTGGACTAGATCTTCATTGATTCCACACGCAGACATCGCTCGTTTGGTAAAGGATTCATACGTCTTCATAACACTCCGTTTCAGGAAATTCGAGATTTGATGATCTGTGTAAATTGTTGTAATCAAAGAGGTCATTAATAGGTCTGTTTCCTATCCATTGGGACTTTCCTTTATTTGACGTGTATAACGTCAATAAGGTTGAGCACCAATAACACCTAACTAGTGAACTATTTTAGAATTATTGGTGAATAATTATTGGTTTTACGGAGTAGCCGATTACGAATAGCCGATCTAATTGTGAAAATTGTTTAACTAACTTAAACTCAAAATAACATTACTCATATAGGTAACTAAGTTCACTTATGAACGTCAACAGTAAAGGTGTTATATTAATTTACATTTACTACCAGTTCGCAAGTCAAAGGCGAAGAGCGAACAAGAAAAATCAGTGCCAATTCCATTTAAATTGGCCAAGTAATTAATACTTGTTTACACATAACATAATCTTGAAAGAAATTAAAACTAATAAATAATTGACCTCTACTACTAATAATTCTATTAGGTACAATTATATTTTTTCTATTAAAACTGAATAATTATTAAAGAATTATAAACTTTATTTATACCTGTCATATCCAACCAGACAGCTATAGTGCTTTGCTCTACTATATCATCTTCAACGTAGCCGTCTGCGATTCGTAACGCAAGTGCGGAACTAAAATTGGTCGGGAAATGAACAGCTCCATAAGTAGTCCGAGCTGCAACGGCTATTTTGGCCTCTTCTGTCGAGTTGAAGTACTCCTAAAAAACAATTAATACGATAACTTAACTGAAATATAATCGTGAGAATAAAACTCGAAGCGAAAGTTTTAATGTTTCATTTTTATTTGTTGCAGATTAATAATAAAAAGAGTGTTAAAAGTGTTGTTAAGTGTTAAGAGAAGCTTCTGAGTGCGACTCTCTGAGGTCGTAGGTTTGAAGGACTTGACTTGTCTAGGTGGCAATTTAACAGTCGATCGAGCCCTAGACCCATAAAGTTACCAGCGTGTGTCATGCATAGTAATAATAAATCATTTATTTGCTTGAAAGTGGATTGAAACGATCAATTATAAAAATCCGCACAATCAGCCAAATAAAAATAGGCATGCTAATGTCATATTAATATTAATTTACATTTAGTCATATAATAACATAAACATAATGTCATATTAAAAAGTTAAGCTATTATATAGTATATTAGTTGGCGTTGCATTACGCTCAGAAATTCTACTTTCGCACTTATTGTTTGAAGAACTTTATTTCTCATTATAAAAAAATGTATTTATTTACATGAGAAACTTAATATGGATATACGAACGAGATACACGTCGCCATCCGCCGTCCCAATTTTAGTCTACCAGGCTCATTCTGAAAAATGCCCTTTTGAATTGGTTAAACGCGAATACGAATTTTAGACGGTAATTGATTAAATAATTGCACACTCAATAGACTTCTTCAAATAAATTGTACGCGGCTTCGGCAAGATAAGCAAACTCGCTCCACGGGTATTGCGTGTATTGGTGTTTGATTTTACTTACCGCAATGATTCCCCGTTTCTCCATTTCGTCCACAAACCAACAACTCAGCATATGGTATTCACATATTTGTTCTTCGTTCATTGCCACCCATGTCAGGTTACTCGTTTTACATAGTTCATTTCCCACTGAAAAGAATTAGCAATTAAATAATTTTAGTTGTGTTAGCTAAGTGTCTGATGCCTGACGTTCGAATACCAGCTGTGAATTTAAATTTTCTTATATATACATAAATTACACTTGATCTGGGAAGTAACCGCGAGGAAATTGATATGTCTTAGAGTGAGATTCCGATTTAGTTGTTTCTAAGTTCTTCTTAAGTGTGATTCTCGTGTGTTTTGACATATGGGAGTCATTCGTAGACAAAATAAAAGACGTCAGACAGAGAACTTAAAAAAAACTTAATCATATTCAATGCTTCATTGCACCACTGACTTCATACAAAAAACCTGTGGGCCTGTATTATAATAATACGTACTTGGTATAGAAGCTGCTTCGTCGTTAACCACAGCGACGTGTAGTCCTTTCGGATCTCGTCCAACAGCGCTGTAGAAAGCCATCACTTGTAGCATTGGGAATAGTATTGAGAATATTAGTCCTCTGAAAAATATAAGTGTTATAAAGTTCGGGGATTTTAACAACAACGAAAATGTAAAAAATCTAATCTAATAAAACCTCCTTCGGTTAAAAAGAAAGAAATTAATTAATAAATTGTTATAAAAAATACTAATATAGTACCTAAGTCAAACAAAAAGTTTTGTCTAAAAATTAAACATTAAAATTTGCGGTGGGACGACCCTTATGATTTAGGGGGATGAAAAATAGATGTTGTCCGATTCTCAGAATTACTGAATATGCATAAAAAAATTTATAAGAATCGGTGAAGCCGTTTCTGAGGAGTATGGGAACGAACATTGTGACACGAGAATTATATTTATTAGATATAGAACATTACTGCTTTACCAACAAGTGCTTTAATACATGACTATTTTGTATCGATGACCAAAGGGAATATCCATACGATAGGAAGTCTAGTTATTAACCCCGTACACGTCTGCCTCCAAATCAGTTTACGGAAAGCGAGTGATGTGACGTGATCCGATTCCTTTATAAATATATTCATAAGGATTACGTGAAAATATTCAATAATTGTAATGTTAAAAATTTAATGAGTGATTAACTGCACACACTATATCGATTTTCAAATGATTCCCACAGAAGTTCTTTTTAGATTTTTTAAAAATATGTCAATAATGTAATTACAATAAAAGCCAGTTACAATTATAATTTATATTGAACTTTTAATGGCGTTAACTTTTGGCAAGAAACAGAACAGCTAAATTCTTTATCATTCGAATACAGCAATATATAGAATAAGAACATTTCATACTTCAGCTTAAGTACAGTAAAATGGTACAATTTCAAATAAAATCTGATGTTTAATAAAGAAGAATATTTTGAATATTCCTTTCATTTGCTTCCATGTGATTTTTTAGTAACAGAATTAGGGGAACTCATGAATGGTTCAATCATTATTTAGTCAAAAAACTGTATTTTAAGTATATAAGTGTGCATACATACCCCGGATGCCTTGAAAACTGTTGTATACTCTTTATGAACACAGCCTTTAACCGTCCAGTCCTCTTACTTTTTAATTCTAAACCATTTTCTTGTTTAGTTAAAACCTGCGATATTTAAGACAGTGGTTTTAGCGCAATTAATTTCACGTTTTAAGTGAGCTAATACATTTTTAGAGCTAATTTCTTCCCAAGTGTATCAAGTATGGGTTTAATGTGTTGATGAACTTCAAGGGTGATTATGCACGTGTGTGTGTGACGTGATTGTAGTGGGCCTCGCTCTGACAAGTAAAAGCGTCTGAATGTAGGCCTAGCTCAACAGACGAAGGAAGTGCAGTTTCACCTCGTTAAAAAACAAATTGCTTTTTCCAAAAATGAAACTTGTTCCATGTTCACTTGTTCGTAGGTGCTAAACAAATTGTTGTATCTGGTAACACTTACATCTCGACTGCTTGTAACAACATTAAAGTCTTCAGTCGACTGGAATCGGCTATCGTTGACTATACTGCTCTCTGGAATCACGTCCGGGGATGAACTAAGCGCTGTAAAAACAATTTGGCTTTAATTTGCGTACGTTAGCCGTACACGGAAGCGCCAATTAAAACAAAATTTAACTAACTAAAGGAAACACTACAACGCGGTTACGTTTACCTTTTATTCCCGAGTAATTAACGACTGATTTATAGTCTACATTTAAAATACGTGTCAGAAAACGTTACCGTCCGTGAGAGTACAAAGTCTCGCCTCTGAATATTACCTTGAGACTTGTATCTAAATCTTAGCCTTGGAATGCAACCAGCATACTTACCACATTACTCAATAGTGATTTCATTATCGAGGCCTTTACTCTGTAACTTCTATTAGCGACGCGATTTCAACGCAAGTTCGAGTTAAAATTAAATAAATCAATGGCGCTACAACCTTCTTAGGTCTGGGCTAGATTTCTGTATCTACTTCATAGGCAAGTAGGTGATCAGCCTCCTGTGCACACGGTATCGACTGTTTGGGTCTAAGAAAAGCCGGTTTCCTCACGATGGTTTCCTTCACCGTTCGAGCGAATGTCAAATGCGCACATAGAAAGAAAGTCCATTGGCACAGCCAGGGATCGAACCTGCGACCTGAGTGATGACATTCGCAAGATGAAGCCACTTGGCCACTGCTGCAAGTTCGATATAGTTCTACCAATATCCGTAGTACTAATCGTGCAACTATTTTGAAACCCCACCGAACAAAAACAAATTGTGAGATCGGGATTGGTCTCTGTACCGATAATATAAGTTACAGAGTTACAGAGGCTCTGTTACGTTCATAAACATAAAATCGAAATCCCTATTAGAATTACATGGTAAGCTAACTGATGCAAGAGCAAAAACAATGCGCATTTATATAAAATATTCTCCGTGTTCTGTAAAATAAATTATTTAAATCCTCTTACATATTAAATTCTTGTTGTATTTGTTTACTAATGAAATCTAATAAATTCCTATCTTTTTGCACAAAAGTTCTTTTTATAAAATTTAACACCTTTGACGCTTGTATGTACATATTCAGTAATAATATTAAAAAATACTAAGCCATCAGGCCCTTAATTGGAACCCACAAGAGAAGCGTGGCAATCCCAAGCAAACGTGTAAGTCGCAGATGACGCAAAGAAACCCGGATAGACTTGACGCGAGGTAAAATGTGAAGCTCAACAAAGTGGAGGGTCACTGTGGACTCTGACCCGTCCAAAAGTCATAGGGCATTCAAACATTAATTTAATATTAGAAATGCAACAAATTTTGCGAAATCAGAGATAAACAAAACATACTAACATATGTTTTGTTATACATATAGGAACAAATCATACTCTTTCTAGTTCTAGTAGCTGACCCGGCTAACTACTTTCCGCCTAACAGTCTAATAATAGCGGGTTAACTTTAGTTAAATTTAATTTAGGATTAATACAACTTTTTTTTGCAAATACAGAAATGTTTTATTGCTTGCCATTGCGAAAGAAAAATGGCAGTTTTACACATAAGGCCTCTTCTCTCTAGCGCCAAAATTGCGATACTTCATGTTAAAGCACTTTCTGATATTCAACATTTTTTGATGAGGTAACACATGTCTTCGATCAAGATCAAAGCCTGGTTACGTATCTCCTCATTGAGTTCAAGATCCGAATTTCAAGAACTGACGAACTGAAGAATTCAATGTAAAATGAGGCGTAGTTTTGTCAACAGATGGCACCACATGCTGTTTGCATTCGTAAAATTAATTAATTAATTTATTGTTATTCCGTAACTTTTCCGATATTTTATTACTTATTCTGCTATTCGGAGCGGAGAAGAATCCACCCAAAAAGAGATAACTAACATCGGTCCAGCCGATCTTGAGTTATAAGGGGTGTAACTAACACGACTTTGTTTTATTTATTTAAATAGGTTACTCACTCGAGCGTCGTCTATTCGTTCTGCTGTTCTCATTTTGAATTAACGCCATCTTTAAAAATGCATCCTCAAGCGTATCGCAGTTGAACCTTCGTAAAATATCTGTAGGGGAGTCCTGTGCCAGCAGTTGTCCATCTCGAAGGAGACCGATCTATAAAGAACATAATTTAGATGTTATACAACTATTTAACATCGGCTACGACCAGGATTTTGTGAGGCAGCGAAATTTTCTGTCGTATTCCTTTTTCTATAACTAAATTTTAGACATACATATTTAAATGTCGAATTCTTTAACAACTACGTTTCACACAGAACATACGACATACATAGACAATTTTTTTATCAATTTGCAAAAAGTTTGCTTATTTAACGTTTGTTTAAACAAATATTTCAAATATTTGACTAGTTGATGTTTCCAAGTTGGGATATTTCTCTTAGTAATGGCCACTTACGAAGTGTCCATAAAAACATTTTAATATATTATTTAATTGCAAAATATATTTTAATAATATAAAATTACATTATAAGCACAGGTTTATGATAGAGCCGATGAGTCAATTAATTATTTATTTAATAATAGGTTGATTGACGGGCTTTAATTAGTTTATAACACGCGATGGTATACAGCCTTGGTGTACACTGTGCTATTAAAGAAAGACTTTATATATTCATAAAATCAATTCTATCTATTCCTATATACGCACCTATGCATTTACTTGGGAATATTTATAAATAAGTCTTTATTACTTTACTCAGACTGAACACTTTTTTAATTTTAATTATTTTACACATTTGCTGTTAAAAAAAAATCAGAGGCGCTACAATCTTTCTAGGTCTGGGATTCAGATTTCTGTTTCAGGATCAATCTAATAGGCAAGTAGGTGATCAGCCTTCTGTACCTGACACGGCGTCGACTTTAAGGGTCTAAGGCAAGCCAGTTTCCTCACGATGTTTTCTTACGCCGTTCAAGCGAATGTTAAATGGCACAGGAAGAAAATACATTGGTGCACAGCCGGGGACCAAACTTACGACCTCAGAAATGAGAATTGTACTCTGAAGGGCGCAGTGTTGGCGGCGGTGTTCTCTCCTGATAATTGCTTTTATTAATATAGTGAATATTAAGACTGTAAATTATCCACAAAAGCTCAATTTCCGGATAAGAGCTAGGAAGGGAAATTACGTCATTTAATACATGTATTTTAATTACATAATTACATAATGTTCTAGGAATCGCTGACAAAGCGATATTAAATGTAAACATGCGCTTAATGCGAAAAATAGTGTAATTCATTACCAAAGTAACTTTGTTATATGGATTGTACAGGAATTTCGAATAATATTGTTAAAGTCGCTCAGAAGCCTTAACAACATTGTCGTAACACCATCCTGTTGAAGTTGAACCGTTCACAACTAATGCGACTTGAGTGTGGTGTGATGAGTAAGCAAACATAGTATGTAATTAATATTGCGTTCTTCACATTTAATTTACATATTAATAAAATAATTAATTTGTAAACTAACTAATCTGGCTATACCAGGTTAAAATTTCGGCAAATAGACTAAAATAATAAAAAAAATACTCTTAGATTTCGTCTACTGTTTTGAATTTGATTTCTTTATTTGAGTTTGAAAAACAGTGGTGGTAAAAAAATCTCTTTCGTGATCATTTTTTTTATTAGCAAGTTGGTGAGCATGACCACTCCCGATTTGAGTTAAGGAGTAGATAAAAAACGAAGAGTGTAAGAAAATTTTGATATTTTAGTTGACAACTTTTCTGGTACAAAAAGAATGTTGGACTCATGAACATCAACCGTGCCCTGTAACAACAGCGATACTGTTGCCAACGTTTTGTACGCAATTTCGATTGTTTCAACATTCGTAGCGCATAATCGTAGTGCATAGAATATAATACACTTTGGTTACCTTGTGTGCTTGTTTAGTTTCGTCAATGTAATGGGTCGTTATAATGACAGTTGTTCCTTTAGCTGCTAGTTCTGTTAGGTAGTCCCATATTCTGAAAACAAAAGATTCGTTAGATTATGGTAATCAAAATCCTATTGTTTTAGTCTCTGAAACGATATTTTTATAACAAGTCTTTATGATTCCATTAAAAGCGCGCATGCGCATGCATGTTTCAAAAACAGCGTTAATTTAATAGAAGATGCTTCTTCTTAGTTCGCACACTCATCTTTTACGATTGGAAAGAGTTGTTTGAAATACCTGCGGCTGGGTTTCACTATCGGACGTCAAGGCAGAATACGAAATACCACCGTACGTACATATCCGTTAAATACGTCCGTCGTTCCACAACTGAGCGTTTTTTAAGGCAGTTTTTGACACGCACTATGACACGTCTATGTGGAAACAGCTGCCCACTTAGGGTCCTTCAGGAAAAGAGCGAACCAATTCTTAAAAGGCTGGTAACGCACTTGACGCCCATAGACATTGCGAGAGGGGTACTCTGGCAATGGCTATGGGCAGCGGTATCACTTAACATCAGATGAACCTCTGTATCTAAGCCGTTACTCTCTAACTTGCCGATCATAATAGTGAGTTTTGGTACCGCGCGGTTCCAAGGTTGCGACATCAGTGCAACGGATATTGAGAACTATAACGAACTTGCATACAAGAACGTCGGGATCGATATTGCTGTCACTATTGGAAGGTCAGTCCCTGAACAAGACAAGGCCCTGAACTTCGCCAAAAGGGTAAGTTTTTACGGAAAAATCAAATTGTACCAACGAACATTAAAAATCCCAAAATGTCTCATGACTCTCATGTTAATGTTGATTTCATTTTGAAATCTTTAAAGATACAGCCTTATGTAATAGTTAGCCAACACCATTGTCTTATTTACTATTGTTTGCGTTTTTATAATGACATAATAAAATAAAACTTTCAAAACTAAAAAGACGAAGAATGGTTTTATATACACACTAAGGTGCACGTTCGCACTTGAAGTTATATTAATTTTGATGAGTTTTATATTTAGGTGAAAGGTGTGAAAAATACATTCATGAATATTAATTGATTAAATTACGGGTTTTTTAGTGCCAACTCAGGGTTAGGGTACAATTTAGAGAGCAGACTTAACAGGAACCATGATTCCCACGAGTCAGAATTCAATTCGTTTCTATTTAGGCAATGACATTCGAGGCAAATTCAACTTTTACTTCTTATACTTTTCTGTTTAGCGTGAAAGATCAATTCAATTCAAAATTCCAAGAAGTTGCTAATTAGGTGTAACGTTATTAAAACCACTATTTCCCGTTTCCGTCAAAAATTTAAACGTAAGCAGCAAATTGGTAAAATAACGAAAGAATAAACTTTTAAATTAAATGGCATATTTAGGAGATGTTGCATATCCGGTACATAATTTATAGACCACAAGCCCATGAACAAAAAATACCTGTGAAATGACCCAACGTGAATTACGTTTAGAAGGCTGTTACTATATCTGAAAATAACTCTGAGCACTATGCCGTCATTTCTGAGTGGTACATGTGAGTACGTGAGTGAATGGAATTTCTCAGATACGAAGGAGGAATTTCGACTAATTATTAATGTACGGCTTTGTTATAAATGTAGAGATGATTAAAAATAAATGTAGAAAAACCTAGTGCCGTACTAAAGTGATGGTGCCGGAAGTCGGTGCAAATTTTTAATTCGACGACAGTTGCAGAAGCAATATAGGTCATTTATTACTGTACGGCATTTGTGTAATTCCTTTTGGATACATATACAGATACTTTACCCGTAAACGCCGTACATATTTCCAGCGGAGCGGTCGAAAGCCAAGGGTCGAAACCCTACCCCTACACCCATATACCCTAAGGTCATTGTAAAATGTACGGCAACATGTTCAAAATATTATTTAACACGGACAATAATGTTTTATAATTATGCCGTCCAAAAATTATAGTTAATGTTTGTGTAAATAAATATTTATCGGAACTTCAGGATTTACCGAGCTCTTACTGCTGTAAGATCAGAGAATAATGTACGGCAACTTCTTTTTTTACATAATGTTACTAAATATTACCGTTGTACCTTATAGCCGTTCATTATAAATGGTAACAAATAAAAATATTATGATAAAAAATATATGAAATTTCCGAAATTTAGATGATTTTTCAAATATTTCTAGAGTAATATGAGGAGTTATATTTTCAAAGATTATTGTTATTTTATATGTAACAAATATAAATAAACAAAAAAAACCAGATGCATTTTACTCCAGATTATTCTTTACAGCTGATAAAAACTTCGACGACGTTTGAGGTGTCCCTTAAGGTCATTAATAACTGTACGTATCTGAGTATACTACCATAAGGCTGTAAAGCAGCAGAGAGAGGTAAAGGAAAAATATTTTTAACAAAAATAAAAATATAATACAGGGCTTCCCAAAGTTATAGGATATGAAGGGAAAGTACCTTTAATATCGTAGATAGGGTATTTTACTGAAAGAAGACTTTGTGTAATTTTTAAAAGTTAGTAATTCTGCATTCAAAGATTTTTTAAAAATTACTTGCCTCGTCTGGAAATCGAACCGGCTTAAATGTAAAAAAAAAACACCCCTACTTTTATGATGCCAATCGAAAGAATGGCCAAAACCTAATAACTTTTCTAAAGTATATCATCATCACCTATATGCTAATCAGACATATGTTGCGACCCTTGGCTTTCGACCGCTCCGCTGGAAATATGTACGGCGTTTACGGGTAAAGTATCTGTATATGTGTCCAAAAGGAATTACACAAATGCCGTACAGTAATAAATGACCTATATTGCTTCTGCAACTATCGTCGAATTAAAAATTTGCACCGACTTCCGGCACCATCACTTTAGTACGGCACTAGGTTTTTCTACATTTATTTTTAATCATCTATACACTTATAACAAAGCCGTACATTAATAAATAATTAGTCGAAATTCCTCCTTCGTATCTGAGAAATTCCATTCACTCACGTACTCACATGTACCGCTCAGAAATGACGGCATAGTGCTCAGAGTTATTTTCGGATATAGTAACAGCCTTCTTAACGTAATTCACGTTGGGTCATTTCACAGGTATTTTTTGTTCATGGGCTTGTGGTCTATTACGACCGTTCTTCGATCGAATGACACAGCACGGCTACAGAACCTTCTTACTTTATTGTTGCATTCGAATTTTGAAAAAATAAACGAAATTAGAATAAATTAAATCTCGCTGTGTTAGGAAAGTATATTTTTTATTTTATTTGGCAGTAAGAAACTCGTTTGCAACAACATGGACCTAAGGAAATTTAAAAGGTCGCTTTCATGTGGTCGGCAATAAAGACTATTTTATTTTATTCAAATAAAGTAACAAATGTAAAACCTATTAAGGAGTAATAAACCTTAGAACGTTTCCTTAGGTCCTTTTGTCCTATTCAGTTCTATCTACACTGTAAACTTCCCCTTTTCTGAGATTTAAAATAATAAATAATTATTATGAATAGAGTTTTATTTTTAAAACCTATACAAGATAATCAGACAAAAATTGAGTAGTGTTGGCCTTTTGGTTTCAACGTGCGACTGTCATCCCTGAGTACCTAGGTTCGATCCAGGGCTGTGTACCAAATGACTTTCTTTCTATGTGCGCATTTAACATTCGCTCGAACGGTAAAGGAAAACTTGCCTTAGACCCAAAAAGTCGACGGCGTGTATCAGGCACAGGGGGCTGATCACCTACTTGCACCTAATTAGATTGACAAATAATCATGAAATAGATTCAGAAATCTGAGGCCTAGACCTAAAAAGGTTGTATTTTATACAAGACGATCAGTCTTCCTATACAAAGCAGTAAGTCATCTTCCTATATCTATATACTAAAGGCCATTGGCTCAAATTATTTTCATACTATATTACAAATATATGAAGTAAATTATACTAATTAATGTAATTAATCTCTTTAATATATTTTGTTTGTGCACGTAAATATCAAGGAGAATTAAATACCAAGGTTCAAAGTTCAGAAAAAGTAATATCCGGACAGAATTTATGAACCGTATAGTATATAAGAAAATACATTAGCTACTATAACGTCATTCAACTTCAGCATACGTAATTAGTTAATTGAAAATTATTATTATACGTTAGATAGAGTAATGTAGGTGCCGGTATAAATTATGATGAAATGTACCTGCTCGTACCTATATGAGATAAAAGAAACTATATGATAAATTCTGAGAGTGAAGGAAGCAAGAGGGATATGTTAGGGACATCGGGGAGGTTTTTTCCTATCTCTAGGGAAGAATTGTGTGTGTCAATTGAAGCCAAAGTGGTGGGTGATGCTGCTTAATCTATCTGAGTTCCTTACACATCTATTTATGTGAATTAAACTATGTAATAAATGTTATGATATAAACGTTGTGTATGATCTTAAATTAAATTATAATGATTCATGTGCACTTTTTATTATTAGGTATTAATTTTGTTTCATGTGTCCTTTATTAGTTTGTTTTTTGTTCCTGTTTAGTTTCTTTTTCTCAACAACTATATTTAATACATGTATTTTTGCACTTCTTGCCTACCTTATGTAATTTAATACTTTGTTTTTTTTTCTCACAGTGGTTGCCTGGAAGAGATTGCTCGAAAGCGATAAGGCCGCCAGTTGCTCTCCTATTTATTTAATTATGTCAATTGTACTATATTTATGTATATGCAACGAAGTGTTAATAAATAAATAAATAAATAATAACTACATAAAAATCATCAAACTGTATTAACCCTTGTTCATAATTTCTCTAAGAGCATAGACTTGTTTAGTGTCTTAGGTTTTAGTTCATTAGTATGCCATATGGATGTTACATATTATTTTAAAGCGTGAATTTTTAACAAACGAAAATAACATATTTGAATTTTCACAGAGAATTCAACACATATACTTATAGACAGAAAAAATTTAGCGTTTTAAAGGGGCAAAATATATTTTCCTAGCGTGTTGTCCCTATGCTTGGGAATGTGTACTGGAGTCTAGACACGTTTACAAATTTCTTAAGATATTGGCAAGATTATGAAGCAATAGTTTTGCATCACTTGAGGAAAATTGCTACAATTACTTATTATAGCTGTTGCGTGTATATTAATAACGTGATAAACAGCAATGCTTTGTGAAGTAATTACTGGTCATTAAGTACATAGTTGAGAGGTGAATTGAAATAAGTCTTTTCATACAAAGGGACTTTTAGCATAAAGCAAGTACCAAAATTTAGTCTTCATTTACATTTTGTTTATATAAAATATTGTTTTATACTGTAATCATTAAATGTTTTGTCTTGTTCCACGTATATACGAACCATGGAAGAGAATCTGGTCATGGTATAAGATCAGCTACCATATAATTGTGTAATTTTTGAAATAAATAAAATAAAAATATAAGCTCATTAACGTGACGCATTACTGTATATAGTGTGTAATATTTTTGCTTACCATTACGTAAGCAAAAATATTAAAAAAAGGGAATCAATCTTCCAAGGAACATGTTTTTCTAACAAAGAGGACTTACTTTTCTCGTAGCATCGGATCCAGCCCCACAGTAGGTTCATCAAGAATAAGGAGTTCAGGATCATGTACCAGAGCAGCAGCCAATGACACACGTCGCTGCTGACCGCCTGACAATTGCTTGATGAAGCTGTCACCTGCTGGTAGCTCCAGGAGGTCGCAGAGGAAGTCGTAACGTTCAGCTAATAGTTTGTTCGACATGCCGTAGATCCGCCCAAAGTAGTATAAGGCGTCTCGTATTGTGAACTCGGCTACTAAAGCTATGTCCTGTAAAAATATATAATTTATACAGAGCTGGCACTTTCCTGGCTCAACGAATAAGTGTCGCAATACAGCGAGGAAATGCTGCCAGCGTTAAAGGTACATTGCCACAGGGACCAAACTTTTTAAATTTGTTTTGATTTTCATTTTAATTATTTTCAATTATTTCTATGATTATTTTGTTGGTTAAGAAAATTGTAAATACTTTATACTTGATTGTAAATAAAACTTTAGTATTTATATATATTATATTACAATTTTTTAAATGTTCACAAAACCACTTCGAGTCCGACGTATGTAGTAGTAGTTCGAGGAATTTAATAAAAATATCATATGACATTATCATTATTTGTTTCTATGAATTGATTCCTCAAACGAGAACATATTCTCGAGAATGCTTGTTTTAAGCGATTACCGTGGATAATATATAGAGCAAAAAAATTAAAAGCTGTCGACCCTGGCTTCAAAGCCAGGTAGGTACTAAAATAAAATTTGTTGTTTTTGTAAAGTTTCAGTGTAATAATTACTTACTATTAACTTTATAACTAATTAACTATTAACAAAAGACACGTTTTTTTCTTATAGATCAGCCTATTTATATTATTATACTATATATTAGGTTATTTTTATTGTTTATATATATATATATATGTTATTTTTATATTTCTAACTAAATTATACGATTTCACTAAATTAGCCATAGTTTTCTGTGCAATTTTTGTTTAATGGTATGGCGCTCTTAATCGTGATTTTTTCTTATTTAACATTAAAGGCCTACCGTATTTTGTTCAAGAACGAAAAAAACAATTATAATCACAAACGAAGTATTATTATTTGTTCGAAGTCTATTTAGTGGTATGTAACAAGTTTAAGAAAAATTTGCATGGTCAAACCTATTTCACGATAAATAAATATATTACATAATTATGGTATACTAAGAAATACTAAAAATCCAGTAGCCCTGCAACCCCATGGGTCTTGGTTTCATATTGTTTCAACATACGACTTACATCCCTGACATTCGATCTCCGGCTGTGCGCACCAATGACCTGCTGTCTACGAGTATGTGCGCATTTAACACTCGCTCGGTGAAGGAAAACATCGTAAGAATACCGGTATTTTTTATAGAACATGTCGTAAACGGGCTTACCGAATGTTAAGTGATACTCTCAATACCAGAAGACTCGCGAGTGCGTTGCCGGTCTTTTAGGAATTGGTACGTTCCTTTCTTGAAGGACCCTAAGTCGAAATGGTTCGGGCAGCTGGTTCCACATAGTGGTGGTGCGCGGCAGAAATCCCTAAAAAAACGCTCAGTTGTGGAAATACATGGCATGCCTGTCTCAACATCGAAAATCGACATGTGTCAGAAGTCTGATCACCTACTTGAATATGAAGTAAATATTTTCACATAAACAGTCGCAATCTGAGGCCACTTGATTATTATTAATATGAAAATTATATAAAAACGTAATAAGTAGTAATACTTTACATTATACGTCTGGTTATTCAATAAATATAACTATTGAAAACAATTGAAACACATCATAAAGATCGTGAGTTACATATATTAGCACCGCTTCTATGTTCGATGCATTATGACAGACACTTACAAGCAACTGTTGAATTGTCTTAGCAGGAGACACAATTAATTAGTTAAATTATATTTAAAAAAAATCAGACATAATAAATATAACAACTGTTATATTTATTATGGAAGGACTTTGCTGGAATTTATATAAAAAGGATATAAAGAATTACGGGCTATGGTTTAAAAGCTGTCCCAATACATATTTTTAAACCAACACACTTTAACACATTAATTGTGCAATAATAAATAGTTGTCATTATTAACACTTCAAAATATTATAATAATAGTATTTTAAATGGATGTCTGATAAATGAGTTTACAACAACGAAGTGAAGGTTTTTTGGTATTATTATTATTATTGTTTGTATTAAAAATTAGGGTTAGCACTTCTTCACAATTCTTTTTTTCTACTATTTTCTTTAATTAGGGTTACCTAGAAGACATCGCTTAGGTGCGATAGGGCACTGGTATTCTATTGAAAGCTTCAAGTAAGATTTTGTCGTGACTGTCATTTGTGACTTTGTTCGCATTGTCCTTCACTTATTTAAGCTTCGTTTTCATTAAAAAAAAAAGACAAATTCTGAAAGAAAATCACAAAAATGTGACTCGGCACTTAATTTTAATAATATTTGCACCTTATAACCGACTTTACCTCTACGCAGAAGGTTGTATGCTTAAACTATTACATTCTTTAACGACAGTTATTACAAATAAATAATAATTAAATGTACATTATTAATATAACTCGTTATATTACAATTAAATGTGTATTATTACTATAACTCGTCAGCAATTATTGTGGAATTATGTATGTGTATCCTGATAAAGTAAAAACCCACATTATATTTAAATTCATTTGAATATCGATTTTATGTAACTCATTAAAATATAAAAGTCGAATAACAAGTTTATGTACCCAAAAAAATTATTGTTTCACCGGAAATAGAATCCAGTTTTTATTTATGACGGATAAATTTGAAACATACCTGGGGCATGTACCCCACACGGGGTCCGGGAACCCCACTGCCCTTCTCTCCAGGTTTGCCACCCAACACCCATATGTTTCCACTATCCAAATGTCGTCTGCCGACGATACACGACAGAAGAGTGGTTTTGCCGCACCCAGACGCGCCAAGGAGGCCGTAGCTGTAATAAATTATAACATAGCAATTGTTTTTAAAGCTTCCAAATTGATTACTTTTTAAAGAATATATGTTGTATTTGTCGCAATAAAACAATAATACATGAACTACACTTTCCCAAACTTTGGTCATAAGTAAGATAATGTGCGTAATAACTGTACTATTATTTTCAATAGAAACTATGGTACTTTCTATTGAAAATAATAGTTCATAAGAAAATCCTATCGTTATTTTAAATATAGAATCCGATCGTAAACAAAAAAATATTTGTTACGTGTTTTAGCTTTATTGTCGACTATCCTGATCATCATTTAGTCAGCTAATAATAGCAGAATAAATAACAATAGGCGTTAAAGTAAATCCACTTTTATATACAGGTATGTAACTTACATTGTACCCCTTTCGACGGTCATGTCCAAATTCTGAAGCACTGGTTTGTAATCATTTCCGCCCTTTTTACCGTAATACTTGGATGCCCGCTCGACAACAACAGCCGGCGTCGCCATCTTGGAATTTTGAAATTTGAAACTTCAGTTGGCGCGCATTTTATGTTATCTGTAAAGAATAAATAATATTTAATTAATTTACAAATTTGATTAAGATATTGTGTGGCGTTCGGCGTGAATTTGGATAAGTAGTGAAGGACTAGAGACTAGAAAATTAATTGAAGTTTAGATGTAGATGGAATCTTGAAAATTTATTACTTATTTCAAGTATATCAAATATGGTAATAAATAATATATGTACGTATTTGTCGAGGTTGATCATAAAATTAATCTATTTATTATGGGTTCAACTATTTCATAGGGTAATTTATTAATCGTTTAGGTTGTAATAACATGAAATATATTAAGTGAATTGTTTCTTAAAACTCAACTTATTTAAATATAATAATAACTTATATTGTATATATTTACGGACCAAACTAAGATTTAAAAGATTGATTGAAAGTTAAGTGACGTATAAGATTTAATTACGTACCATAAATTTAAATATCTACTAATTATTTAATAAGAAGACACAAGTCACTTCTATGATAGTTAATTAAATAGTAAAGCTGAAAATAATTGTTCATAATTAAGTTATACAAAAACTTTTTTTTTTCAGGAAAAGGCCTTTGGACTGGAGCTATGAAGAATTTGAATGTACATTTCCTTTTGAATTTAATAATTACTTGCCTTGGATGTTTCAGCTGTTAGCGAAAATAAAAGTATTTTACTGTTAAAACGATTAAGTTGACTTATTTTGGCTTAGCAATTCCTTAGAAATAAAGAAAACATTTTATGAATTAAATCTGCCTACCAATACTAAGTATTGGTGGGTAGCACACAGGTGCAATTTCCATTTACCGTATAAGAGAATTATCTGTATTGGTTCTGCCGCGCCTCAATGATTTTCTCGGAATTCAAATCTGTGACCCCGATCTAATAGATTGCATACATGTGTTACTGAGCGTGGTTATAAATTATTACGGTAATAATTTTATAAATATTCATCTACTCGAACATATAATTTTAAAGTTTTCTTAACTCTTTCACTTTCAACTTGTGCAAAACATTATCAAAGTGGGTCGTGCCAACCGGTTCTTATGACCCACTAAACTACGGACATGCATGTTTATTATGTAGATTTATATTATCTAAGAGATTGTTGTAAAGGTTATTAAACTATCGTCATTATTTCATATATAAAGAGGGCCAAGGCTGTTTCTGCTGACTTCATATGTAATGTCAATATCCGGGAGCCTTCGTGGTTTGGTGGATAACTGGTATGATTTACGGCAAAGTTCGGTAGGCACAGAAGGGTGACCAACTATTTGATTACGAGATTAGCAATACCCCGGAGGTCAGGCGAGTCGTCAACTCCGTCGTAAATTGGTTCTCTCTTACCGTTAATAGTTTTATTGATATTGTTATTGCATTCATACTCTTTCTGCACGCCTGTATGCAGTGATTGTCAGGATCCTTCTAGACGTAGAATAGACTTTAAAGTTTAGAATATTTATACTCTGTATCTATTTGATATAGTAGCCTGTGACACAGGCACAGTTTACACTAACATCAGTTTGAGCTAGTTTGTTCAATTTGAATACAGTGCTAAATAGTAAAAATATGTTTGACAAAATTAATTACGATATATTTCAATCATGTCGCCAGATGATCACTTAGGCCAGTGGAACGGCTGCGCAATAATTACGTAGGTCACCGGAACACTGAACTAGCCTCATTACGTCACAGTCGACATTCTAAGACCTCTCAGTGGTGCGTCATTTTGGGACCAAATTTATAAAGAGTGCATACGGCTATCACGGACTAGTAGAAATCCGTGAGAATTTTGGACTTCATAGACTCTATATAGACTGCTAATTTGGAGTGTGGTAAAAATGAGCATGAAGCGTAGTTATTAACAATTAAATTCGTAAACATTAAATTACTTTTAACTCGGCAGAAATAGAATCAGTTGAAGTATAAAATTTATCAACATTAAAAATGTAGTCCTTAAATTTTATGATCATTTTGTATAACTAATTGAGTTTCTCTTCTCTTAAGAAAATGTGTCGTATAATATTAATGTACTAAGAATAAGGAATCAAGACTACTTAGATGAAGTAGATATCAAGTAGACATTGCTTAGAATTTCAGTCTTATGGTCATTGATTATTCATGTTAACTTTCATTTCATTTCATTTACAATAATTTACAGCGGTGATTAGCAAGTGTAGACCAATATGAATTATATGAGATCTGTGAAAATTAAAAAAAAAATGTTGGTTGGATAATTTCCACCTCACCAAAGAGTATATGATGAAATATTTGAAGAGGCGGAAAGACTTTGGCTTTGTCCAGCATTTACAATCTTTGAAATATTAAATATTGATTGTCGTTTGTTTAATGTTAAATTTCTTTATTATTTTGTGTATACTTACGTTTTCTGTTTCATATATATTGTTTATCTATGTAATCTGTTTTGGCTTTGTATATTGTCTAAGTGTTTTGTTCATAATATGTATGCTGTACGATTACTAATAAATGAATAAATAAATATTTTTTTTATAAGTCCTGGTGACTTACGTCCACACTCGTTTTTTTAAGAGTAGTATGACATGCCTTTATGCCTTCGACAATTATTAAGCTATTGCATAGCTTTTATCGCGAGCTTTGAGCGCGGCGACCGAATCAAGAAATTCCGTAACGAAAAAAGCCTAACACACTATGACATAATATAGGTGCGGCCATACGCGATAGAGCGGGACAGAACGCATACTGTATTCACATCTCTCTGACGAGATCGGTGACGTAGCGTAAGCGCGGCCGGTGCAGGCGGTACGCGTTAGAGTGAGACAGACTATATAGGCGTGTTAGTCTGAGTCTGGTAGAGTCTATCTCCCAAGATTGAATTAATATCAAAGAAAATACTCCATGAATAAAAAATAAATGAATAATTATAATTGCATAAGTTAATAAAAAATGCTATGCAATAGCTTTACCGCGGCAGTCCTCGAGTGCCACACGTTTTTTTATTCGCTTGAATCAATGATCTCTGGGTTATACTCCATATAAAATTATATTTTAGTACAGTTATTTAAAAAAAAAACCCGGTTTTTTTTAATAAAAAATATTATTTTTTATATATATTATTTTGTAAAATAAAGGAAAAAAAAAAGTTATTTTATTTCTGTTTTACGTACATATTAACAACGCTCTAATAAATATGAGATTTTTATCACAAGTAGTATAAACTGCGGGTTGGCTCAAGCGTAAAATAACATTATACTACAAGAAAATAAGTACATAGGTTTTTCAATGCCGTTTAATTAAGTCTGTATAATTGCCAAAAAATTTAACATGAAACAATTCTTACATCTGGATTTAGTGGTGTGATGAAAACATTATTAATTATTTCTTTAGTGCACTTGTCTGAACTGAAATGTGGTAATCGAAAATTTTAGAATTTTATTGCGATTCAGAGACTATCTGATGTTGACACCGTTGCTCACGCACCACTGCCACTCTTACAAGTACGCTACAGGCGTATGTATTCTACCATAAGGCGTGTATAGTTGGGTATACATTTATGGAAAAAAATAGTCAGACAGCTTTTAAAACTAGACTTAAGTCATAGACTGACTGACTCCCGCCACTTCGTTCACGTGGATACAAATTTGTTTATACAACATTAATGAAAAATATTATGAAGAGTACTGTAAATGAAAATATTCTACTTTAATAACGCCTTTAGTACACCTACGCAATCGCATGCGGCAGCGAAACGACGAAAAAACTGTAAGTTGTATGGCAACGATTCGCATGTGTTTTGTCTCGCTATTATTTAGCTAGATGAAATAGTTGCGTCCTTGTCGGTATTGTTTTGCAAGTAACTGCGAAATGGCTGTTACACAGACGCAGACGTTTCGCTAGTAAAGTTTCGCATCGCAAGGGGTCACCACGCGTTCTGTCAGTGAGGACAGAATTTCGCACAATGGAAGCCGAAAATATTGAATTATTATTGAATTTGATTCGAAATTATCCCGAATTATATTTAGTTGGGCATGTTGATTACAAAGTCCTCTTCAGAATCTGAAAGCGACGACTGGGACGACTCAGATGACATTCTGAAACGACGTCTGCACCTACAGCCCACGAAAGCTACAATGACATATCCTTGCAAAAACCTGCAGTGTACTAACGTTCCGCAGATATTTCGCTACCGCAATTATTTCGCAAAGATTCGCAGCCGCATATGAACGCGTAGGTTACTAAAGGCTAAGTGCATTTTTAAATGACAGTACAACAACGCTTCACATATAGGTCGCTCATCGGTCGACAAAACTAATAAGATGCGGGAATGGGAGCTCGCGGACGCTGGCCTCTAATTCTAATTCTTTAAATCTTCAAATGTATATTACGAGAGAATCTCTTGATTCAATAAATCTTCACTCTTGTTTTCACTGTCTCTTGTGTTCACTGAAAAAGTATTTAAATCTGTCTCTTAGTTTAATAGATAAAAATATAGGTATTTCTATGTTTTAGTACTTATCAAATTATCTTTCAAAAAAAGAGCACACCAATTCTTAAAAGGGCCGGCAACTGGAACCTAAGGATGAGTGTCTATGGGCGGCGGTATTACTTAACATCAGTTGAGCCTCCTCCTCGAGCATAAAAAAAAACATCGAAGGTGTACCATTCTCTTTAGACACGCAAACTTAAGTAAGAGATGATTACTGTCTGTCAATATCATTATGTAATAAGTCGTAACATAGTATGTTTATGAGCTATGTATTGGTGTTTGCAGTTATCATTTTGAAATACTACTTAGGTATATAAATGTACTATTTATTTTGTCGTAGATGTTTAAAACGAAAAACAGCTGTGTGTGCAAAAATAACTCTGGATATTTCGGGCGTAATTCAAATCAAAATCAACATAGACCATTTTATTTAAAATTACGTATCAATCAGATAACTAAAGTTATTTCCTTTATTGCAAATAACTGATAAAAACATCGT